TGAGGTATCATTTTCATTTCGCACTTGACCAACCCTTATAGAAATATCATACTAAGAATCATTGATAATTACTTATTTTCAGTATTAAAAATACTGGATAATAAGTAATTATCAATGATTCTTAGTATGATATTTCTATAAGGGAATGTTACATTTTATTTTCGCACGTAATTTTATCATATAAATTAAAGTAGTCAGTACCCTGCATTTTTTGAAAAATGAAATCAGTGTCACGATAGCAATAGTTCCACATTGTTTTCATTCTTGAGACAGGAATGCCCTATTTCATGTATGCATGTGCTTTTATAAAAGCATTTTTAATTTGCTCAAGTCAATACAAATTTGTTGGAAAATGTCGTTGATGTGATATCGAATATCTTTGCAAAACTATTGTCTCATACTGATTCGACAAAATTAAAAACCGTTTTACATGGTAAAAGTACGTACGAAAATGAAGCAGCGCATTCTCTCAATATGAGATGAGAACGATAAGAAACAGTTACTATTACGACATCGAATCTTTCTGTAAAAATTCTACTTCTTTCTACCTGCGTCGAATTAAAAACTCTTTTGCATGGTAAAGCGGAGCATCCCATGTGATCCGGGAGACAATGCAAAGAAAAATAGTCAAACTTCATATTTTCGAAAATACATATTTGTGAAAGCGAAAATTACTTAAAAAAACTGTAAGATATTATTTCAGAATGTGCTCTAGATGCTAACACTATATGATTTAATAACCTGCAGTAACATGACCGAATTTTGGCCAATGCGCAAGAATCCGACATTTATGAACGTCGATTATGAACGTGATTTTGGGCTATTGAAAAATTATACTCAAGATTCTGGACGTGTTACTGAGAGACTAGAGTGACATTAACGCACATAGTCATTCAAGAGACGATGTAGAGCAAAATTCGCACACTTTACGTCATTTACGAAAATACACCTTTGCAAACGCGAAAATTATTTTACACTGTTAAAAATTATCCCAGAAAAAAGCTTGCCAAGTCAAAATTTCAATTGGTCATTAGTATGCAACAATGATCCAATTAAAACAATTATAAGATTTTATCAATGGATACTCCATTCACATCTTTTTAAACCATACAAAAATATTCAAGTATGTACATTTTTCTAAGAATTAAGTTAGTCAGTACTCTTAAAGAAATGGAAATGTTTGACTCGTTGAACTATTGCGAAAATCTCAGAGCTAAATTGTTTGGTTGGATCATTCTTACATAACTCCGGCGAATTGCAAATTCCAATTCTTACTTTACTTCCCGTCGGACCCAATACGATTTACGTCTACGTGCATGCAGCCTACGTAAAGTGACTCTTTGTGTCTACTATATGAGCGTCTAAATTGAGCGCTCACCATTACGCGTCGTCCCACTGTGTCCAAGGCCCACCAGCCATCCTGTCGCTGCGTCTGATACTGCAATGGTCCTCGCGTCCCACGTTGCCTGTAATTCACTCTCGACCACGATAATCTAACGGAGATTTCACGAAAAATCCAGTCTCTCTCTTGGGGGATACACTCCGAGTTCCGAATTGCGTATGAAATATCGCGAACTGCGTCTTCGAAAAAATATCGGTCTTTCGGATAAACGACGAGTATGTGGGACGAATTCGACAACGGTCCAATTGAATTGTAATGAATCGCTTTGATACATGTGCGACGCAAATCACTTATAAAGTAAACGGAATTCGCGAGCGAAGGGAATACGCGACGTGAAGCCCGATCTCGCGAAACCTTTCGACGCGTGAGTAAAGTAATCTGTGCGAAATTGTCACGTACGACACGGAATATCCTTAATGTAACGTTTCGATGGTGCAGCGTAGTAGACTGTACTACAGCTCCGCAATATTGTTGCGAATAACAGCTCCGCAATATTTTTGCGGAAACAATTCCGTAATATTTTTGCGGATAAAAGCACCGCAATACTTTTGCGAAAACAATTCCGCAATGCTTTTGCGGATAACAACTCCACAATATTTCTGCGAAGTTCGCTCGCAATTCTTCCGCAAATATGATCCGGTGAAATTCGCAAACCTATCAAATTAATAATCAAATTAATAATCAAACCTATCAAATTAATAATCACGAACGCGAGCGTGAATAAAAAATTAGAAATTATGAAAATTGTGACGATAGAAATAAAGCTTTTGCACAAAATTCATCCGAAAAAAGTGTTACTGCGTAAGACGTCTGTCTTCGTTTGATGGAATTTGTCGCGCGCCGCGTAAGTAAACAAACAACTGCTCGCATGTCTAACTTGTGTACATCGCGTTTTTCACGAGGGATCAACGTTCGCTAGCATTGTCTCTATTGAGTTCCGCATTAGAAAACTTTAACTCTAAATGAAAAATTCAAACATGAAAATGTTCTGACAATCGTGAAATTTTGCGAGCAGTTTATATATTATATATAATCATGTTAGATCGCTTCGTGTAGGTGCCGCACGATATCGAATTTTACTTAATAACGAACTCTACTTTATAAAATACAATCGTGATTCAAACTCACGCGAGAGAGAAAATTGAGAAAATTAATGACCGGTGAAAGATCTGTGACACGGGTGATGTGACGGGTGCGCATTTTATGTAGCACAATCTCTGTGGCGCAATCCCTTTGCGCGTTGGCGCATTGTTCGAGACACCTTGAAGATCGCGTTTAATAAAACTGGATAATTTTACAAAGTTTTGAATGTTCAGAGCGTATACTCAATACTTTAAGTATCTACCAGATAGTGTTGGGGTTTGATTAAAATTTCCTTCGACAAAAATCGTCGACCAATCAATAATCTAAGTTAATCAATTTCTAAATATATATACATTGCGAGAAAAATACTTCAAAATTTATTTGCCAAATTTATGTAAAATATATATTATCACTAATATTATTATTTGAAAAAGTGATCTTCCGATTGTTTCGAGTAGGGTGATTTTTATTGGACGGCACGTACACATACTACAACTACAAATAAATCGCATTGATTCGATAAGCATGCATTACATTGAAAGACTTTTTGTCTTTCTTTTATTAATATATTTCTTGTTTTGACTCACCAAACCGCCGATTAAGGTAGCCACATTTTGCTTTCGTTTCTGGAACAGAAAAATGCCATTTCGCCGATTAGATTTGTGCATTGATGACGATTTGAGTGAAGAAGTTTGAAGGATTAAAGAACAATAAACACGATATTTTTCACGCTGGGAGAATTTTTTAGAATGCATTCACACTTGGAATATTCCACTTTCGTTTTTCTCGACGTTGCAAATAAATCTCGTAATCAGAAAAAATCAAAATTTTTCAAGTGATGATGTCACTCAGAAAAAAATTCTCGCGTGCAATTACAATTTAACACGATTTTTGACTCGATTTAAATTATCTCGATTTCGAACAAGAGAATTATCAATTTTGTCAAATTTCTAAATAAAATTACAAATGTTAATTAATGAAACTCATCTTCAAGCTAACCCCGCTCGGCACGAACTAATCGTTAATGTGATTTGGCCTTAACAGAAACTCTAGGCTCAACAAAAGCTGGGTAAACAAATCATCGTAACGGCCAGGGGTGCGTTCCGTTTCCACGCATGATGCGCATGAAACGCAACGTTAGAGTGACAGAAATACGAGAGTAAGATAAAATGAGAGGGAGAGCACTCAGGTAAGGTTCTCGAACCTAGATTAGGTTAGTTCTCGAACGCATGAGAGCGCATGAACTGCACTACCTCAGAGCTGAGACAGTCCATGCGTTCGAGAACTAACCTAACCTAGGTTCGAGAACCTTACCCGAGTGCTCTCCCTCTCATTTTATCTTATAGCAAATTCGGTTGCTTGCACTAGTGTGCACTGAGTGCGCACTAAGGCTTGTTCATAGTATGTTATTATATTTAAAGATTGTCTTAAATAATTCTCAAATAAATTCTCAAATATTTTTAACCATAATATGATATGTATAACATCCGTACGAATCATTTTATTAGTTAAAATGTTTTTAAATATGTATTTAAGACACGATCTTAAATATAAGAATGTACTGTAAACAAGCCTTAATGCGCACTCAGTGCGCACTAGTGCAAGCTACCGAATTCGCTATTAGTTTCGTATCTCTGTCACTCTAACGCTGCGTTTCATGCACATCATGCGTGTAAACGGAACGCACCCCAGCTCGTGCCGCTGACTGAGCGGCGCGTCGGGGGGAGGGGGAAGACGTGCTGCCGGTCAGGTAAACACGCGTGCGCGAGTACATGGAATCACGCCACAACGCTATCAGCCGCCGAGGCGAACGCATCGCGAAGCTGCCGCGTTATTTTCTAAACTGTTTTATGTCGATTTTTAATACCGCATTTTAACTTCGGCACAATTAAGCTGATTATTAAGACGAGTTGAGACACGTACTTATCACGCAAGCAGATGTTGCAGGCTTTACCGCAGCAGATAATTACTGCGTTTCATTTACTTTTTTTACTTGTTATATTTACTTGTTAGAGAAATGTCACAATCAAATTCCTTAATGCCAATCAAATATTATCATCCATTTATTATTCAAGTATTATTAGTTCTTTATTCGGTTGAAGCAACTTAATTTGAATTGCTCCCCAATACGTAATAAAAATGGTTAAATGATAACCGAATAAAGAACTAATAATGCTCGAATAATAAACAGATGATGATAATATTTAATCGGCATTGATTTAATCGAACAATTCTGTATGTAATTAATTAATATTACTCGATATTATTATACGGTTGTACGGATATTATTATACGATCAGACATTATCATTATCTATTAATTAATCGGGTATTATTATTTCTTTATTCGGTTATCGTTTAATTATTTTTTATTGCACATTGAGAAGGAACTCGAACGTGCCGTTATGACAATTTCTTTTCTTCGTTTTGCTGTCGTGTGTAACCAGTTAATACTAATTTATTAAATTACTAATTGATACTAACTTAAATTAAATTTCTGTTACAGAAATCTAATAGAAAAGACGTAGTCACGCAGTTCTAGAGGATGCGATACCTGGGGGATGCCGCGCCGGAGGATTCGGCTCGTGCCTGTTTGAGTCGGGTCGAAGGTGAGCTTCATTGATTTGTATTCATAATTAAAAATCCGACAAAACTAATAATTTTCTTATTTTGAATCGAGTTCCTGAATGCCTCCATTGTCATGTAACGAATTAATACTAAATTAAATTTGCTTTTTGTTACAGAAACGAGCACTCGACTCTAAGGAGATGCTATGCTGGAGGAGCCTGGCAAAGTTGGCGCGAAGGTGAGTTTCACTTAGTTGAATTCGTAATTAAAAATCCGACAAAACTAATAATTTTCTTATTTTGAATCGAGTTCCTGAATGCCTCCATTGTCATGTAACGAATTAATACTAAATTAAATTTGCTTTTTGTTACAGAAACGAGCACTCGACTCTAAGGAGATGCTATGCTGGAGGAGCCTGGCAAAGTTGGCGCGAAGGTGAGTTTCACTTAGTTGAATTCGTAATTAAAAATCCGATAAAAATGGAAATTCTCTTGTTTGAGATCAAGTTCTTTAATGCCTCCATTGTCGTGTGTAATAATAAATTAAATGTGCTTTTTGTTGCAGAAACGAAGCAGACGACCAGCCGACTCTTAGGGGTTGCTGCGCCGGAGGATCCGGCTCGGGCCAAGCAGGGTTAGCTCGAAGGTTAGTTTCCTTAATTATCATTTGTCATTAGATATCCAATAAGATTGATAATTCTCTTGCTCGAAATCGAGATAATTTGAGTCGAGTCAAAGATCGCATTAAATCGTAATTACACGCGGGAAGAATTTTTCCTGAGAAACATCATTACTTGAAAAATGTTGATTTGTTTTAATTAAGAAATTTTTATGAAACATCAAGATAAAGGAAAATGGAATATTCTAAATATGAATGCATTCCGAAAAACTTTCCCAGCGTGAAAAATATCGCGCGCTTATTTTTTTTATATTTCAAATTTTTTTACTCAAACCGACATCAATGCACGAATCTAATCGGCGAAACATTTTTCTGTTCCAGAAACGAAAGCAGAACGTGGCTGCCCTAATCGGCGGATCGGTGAGTCAAATAAGAAAATAAATTGGTAATAAAAAGATAAAGTCTTTCCATGTAATGCATGTTTATAAATCAATGCGATTTGCTTTGCTGTGGTGTAGTGTACGTGCCGTCCAATAAAACACATTGCTCGAACATTTGAAAGATCGCTTTTACAAATAATAATATTAATAATAATGCATGTTTACATAAATTTGGCAAATTTTCAATATTTTTTTTCCCATTAATTTTTCTCCCAATGTATAAATATTTAGAAATTGATTAACTTAGATTATTGATTTGTCGACGATTTTTGTCGAAGGAAACATTGATTAATTTAATTTTAATATTATCTGGTAGATGCTTAAAGTATTGAGTATACGCTCTAAACATTCAAAATTTTGTAAAATTATTCAGTTTTATTGAATGCGATCTTCCAGATGTCTTGAGCAGTGCGCCAACGCGCAAGGAGATTGCGCCAACGCGCAAAAAGATTGTGCCACAGAGATTGCGCCGCGGAAAATGCGCAATCACACCCGCGTGATAGATCTTCCACCAGTAGTTAATTTGTTCAATTTTCTCTCGCGTGAGCTTTAATCACGATTGCATTTCATAAAGTAGAGTTTGTGCTTTCTTATTAAGTAAAATTCAATATTGTGCGGCGCGAAGCGATCTAACGTGATTATACAAACTGCTCGCAAAATTAATTTCATGATTGTCGAAAAATTTTCATGTTTGAATTTTTCACTTAGAGTTAGAGTTTCCTAAAGCGGGACACAATAGAGACAATGTTAGCGAGCGTTGATCCTTCGTGAAAAACGCGATGTACACAAGTCAGACATGCGAGTAATTGTTTGTTTACTTACGCGGCGAGCGATAAGTTCAAGCGAACGAGAACAGACCTCTCACACGGTAACATTTTTTTCGCGTGAATTTGAATAGAATCTTTATTTCTATCGTCACAATTTTCATAGTTTTTAATTTTTCATTCACGTTTGCGTTCGCGATTATTAATTTGATAGGTTTTGCGAATTTCACCGGATCGTATTTACGGAAGAGTCACGAGCGAACTTTGCAGAAATATTGCGGAGTTGTTATCCGCAAAAGCATTGCGGAATTGTTTTCGCAAAAGAATAGCGGAGCTCTTATCCGCAAAAATATTGCGAAATTGTCTTTGCAAAAGTATTGCGGAGTTGTTATCCGCAAAAACATTGCGGGTGTCTTTGAAAAATTATTGCGAAGCTGTTATCTGTAAAAATATTGCGGAGCTGTATTGCAGTTTACTACGCATCATCGAAACGTTATATTAGGGATATTCCGTGTCGTACGTGAGAATTTCGTACAGATTACTTTACTCACGCGTCGAAAGATTTCGCGAAATCGGGCTTCGCGTCGCGTGTTCCCCTCGCTTACGGATTCCGTTTTCTTCGTAAGCGATTCGCGTCGCGCGTGTATTAAAACGATACATTACAACTCAATCGGACCGTTGCTGAATTCGTCGCACATACTCGTCGTTTATCCAAAAGGCCGACATTTCTTCGAAGACACAGCTTGCGATATTTCATACGTAATTCACCACTCGGAGTATATCCTCCAAGAGAGACGGGATTTTTCGTGAAACCTTCGTTAGATTACCGCGGTCGGGAGTGAATTACAGGCGACGTGGGACGCGAGGACAATTGCAGTGTCAGATGCAGTGACAGGATGGCAGGTAGACCCTGGACACCGTGGGACTACGCGCAATGGTGAGCGCTCAATTTAGATGCTCATATAGGAGACTCAAAGAGTCACTTTACGTAGACTGCATGCATATAGACGTAAATCGCATTGGACCCGACGGGAAGCAAAGTAAGAATTGGAATTTGTAATTCGCCAGAGTTACGTAAGAATGATCCAACCAAAGGATTTAGCTCTGAGATTCTTGTAATAGTTCAACGAGTCAAGCATTTCCATTTCTTTAAGAGTACTGACTAACTCAATTCTTAGAAAAATGTACATGCTTGAATATTTTTGTATGGTTTAAAAAGATGTGAATGGAGTATCCATTGATAAAATCTTATAATTGTTTTAATTGGATCATTGTTGCATACTAATGACCAATTGAAATTTTGACTTGGCAAGCTTTTTTCTCGTCGGATTGTTTCTTGATGATACATTAAACTGATATTTTTCAACATGTTATATTTATATGCTCTATAACTGTTATATATGCTCTATATATGTTTATATATACCTTAGGTACGCTCTATAAATATATATCTACTAATTGATTAATATACCTTAGAACTTGTTATGTCGTATTATATCAACATAATATCTCTACGAAGAAATTCTCTTATGCATACGCGTTTGTTGTTGACAAATTAAGACGTTGTTGACAAAGACGGCAAATTAAATTTTGACAAATTAAAGACAACAAATTAAATAATTAAGCCGAAACACTAACCGAAATGTTTCGATTTCCCGCAAAATTATTAAACTAAGATTCGGATCCAAGCGTTTTGAGATTCCGTTAAATGATTCTGCCGAGTTTAGAACCGATGTGTTTTGAGACTCTACTAAATTATTGAGCCGAGATTCAACCGAACTGTTTTGTGTTTCCGCTAAATTATTAAGCCGAGATTCGATCCCAACTGTTTTGAGTTTTCGCTAATTTATTAAGCCGAATTAGTTAAGTCTGGGATAATTTCTTAAAGAAATTTTCGCGTTTGTAAAGGTGTATTTTCGGAAACGACGTGCGTATTTCGCACTACATCTTCTAGATCACAATGTGTGTTATTTGTCACTCTACTCTTTTAGAAGCACGCCCAGAATCTTGAAAATAATTTCCCAATATCCCAAAGTCGCGTTCATCAAGTTTGATCCTTCATAGCAGTGTATTGGAATTCTTGCGCATGCGCAGTGGTCCTATCCGCCGCATGAGCCGAAAGTCGGTCCTGTTATTGCAAGTTAGGTCATAGTAGCGTTAGCATGACCTAACTTAATAGATAAGTAGAACACATTCTGGAATAGCTTTTAGGATTTGTTAAACTAACATTCGCGCCTGAAAAGGTATATTTTCGAAAATTATGTCAGGTGTGATATTTCGTTCTACATCGTTTCCACATTTACAATGTGTGTTTGCATCACTCCAGTCTCTCAGAAGAATCATGCCCAGAATCTTTAAAATAATTTCCAAAAATTCCAAAGTCGCGCCCATAACGTTAGATCCATCGTAGCAGTATATTCGGATTCTCGCGCATGCAAAGGGGTACCTATCCTGCGCATAGTCCGAAAGTCGGTCATGTTACTACAGATTAGGTCATGTAGTGTTAGCATGTAGTGCATATTCTGGAATAGTTTTTTAGAGTTTTTTAAAGTAATATTCGCGTTTGAAATGTTATATTTTCGAAATTGACGGGCGTGCTTATTTCGTCCTGCATTCTCTCCTGAGTGACAGTGTGTGTTTGTGTCACTCAGTCCCTTCAACAGCACCCCCAGAATCGAGAAAATAATTTTAAAATAGCCCAAAGTCGCGTTCATAACGTTAGATCCATCGTTCGTAGGAACGTTAGACTCTCGCACATTGGCCGAAAGTCGTTTATGTTACTTTAGGTTATTTATGTTATTTAGATTATTTATTAGATAGGTCATATAATAGTAGCATCTTAAGCACATTCTGGGATAATTTTTAACAGTGTTTTAAAGTAATTTTCGCGTTTGCAAAGGTGTATTTTTGAAAATGACGTGAAGCTATTTCGCTCTGCATCGTCTCTCGGATCATGTGGGGTGCTCCGCTTTACCATGCAAAAGAATTTTTAATTCGACGCAAGTAGAAAGGAGTAGTCTTTACAGAAAGATTCGATGTCGTGATAATAACTGTTTCTTATCGTTTTCGTCTCATATTGAGAGATGTTCCGCTCCATTTTCGCACGTACTTTGACCATGCAAAAGGGTTTTTAATTTTGTCGAATCAGTACGAGACAATAGTTTTGCAAAGATATTCGGTCAACGTCATTTCCCAACAAATTTGTGTTGACTAAATTAAAAATACTTTTA